ACATAGCAGCTGTGGCAATACGTATTACTGAATTGAGGATTGCGGGCCGAACAGTTGGATTCAGAATTCCAACTGTTAAGATTTAATCTATTATAAAATAAAAGGCAACAAATGTTTAAATATAACATTTCTATAAGCACGTCCTGTTCAGATAATTTTGTGCCAGTTTTTATTTACATTAATTAAATGTACATGTGTAACGTTAATGTATATATATATATCTATATATTATTTTTTGCTTTTAGTAATTCTCCTTTTAAACAATGTGGAATAAAAGGTGTTCAAATATAGAGTGAGATAGTATGTACGAGGAATAATGAAATTCTTTTCTCTAGGATCGTTTAACATCCTTCTTTATTTGTGTTAGTGGCCTCTTAATAAATTCTTTCCATATTAAAATGGATACATGCTGCAATCGAATTACATTATCCTGAACCACTATTGTTTCTAATAATTTTTCATGAAAAAGAATGCAACAAGAAAATGTTTCAAGTCTAAATATTTAATTTCCCTGGATTTTAATGCTTTTTTTTTTTTCTTGTTATGCATAACAGGTACAAGTAGGACACCGTTTTAAAATATATTAGATGCAGTCAGAATTAGAATTGGTGGGATCTCCCAGTTTCATCTGTGGAATATATTATACTAGTTTGATTTTATTTTTGTTTGTTTGTTTGTAATCCCACAAACCTTTATTTGTGTGAATTTTCACTCAATTTACCTTTTTTGACTTTTTTTTGTATGATATATCGTTTAAAATTTGTAGTAATTTTTCTTTAGAGGACAAAAAAGTGCCAACCTCTCCAGAATTTTAGATAATATAAATAGGGACAGATATGCCAGATTCCATGTTTCTACTAGTGACTGGGAGATTTTATCTATTCATAGTTACAATACCTAGCCTATAATTTGATTTTAGTATACCAGCTGTAGTCCTACACATTGTCTCTTCATCAAGGGATATGATCTGATTTCCTCTATCTTTATTCTTACCATTGTGTCAAGTATAATGCCTCTTTTCGCTGTTAAATGTTTGAATATGAATCCACATAGATATTCAGTGTTGCAATAAATATCTTTGATTAAATATAAAGGCTGTAGGATGTTATTGTGACATGTGAAATTAACTAGTTTTAATATTAAGAGAATATTCATGTAAATGTTGGTGTTTATGTTCTAGTCAATGGATGATTGTTTTCTTTTGTTGTTAACCACAAAGCTAACATCTTTCAGTTTTTATTCGTATCATACAATGAATGGTAATCAGATGCTTTACTCAAGAAAAACGTAGCTGCATCCACTACTGCATTTAGAATTGACAACTGCTTAAAATAATGACAAATATTTACTTTTCTTGTAACCTTTCAATCCTCCCACACATTAATGATCAGTCAAGTCCTTAAAAACCCTATGAAAGCTATATCAACTACAGTATGACGCCTCTGTCAAACGTGAAATGAGTAGGTCATTCCACATTTCCAAAGAACAGATTGTTATGATATCACTGATCTTTCAAGTATATACCAAATGTGTTAATATAAATGTATTTTATGTGAGGATTTGGCTAATTCATATATATATCTATATATATATATATATATATATATAGATATATATATATGGATTTATTTATATTACTTTATATACAAGTAAATATATATAAAGAGAATTATAAGTATTAGCGAATCACAGCATTATATGGCTGCAAAACCTATTGTAATCGAGAGAAAGGAAGAAAAAGAAGGAAACATGTGGCAAGATGATGTCTAATAATCAGTTTGTGGCTGTCAGCCAATCAGAATCCAAGCGGAATTCTGGTGATGGTCAGTGACCAAAAAATGAGCACTTGAGAATAAATATAAAATGTATTTAAATTGAAACATTAATGTTTCTTTACCTGGTTAAGAGCTGTTACACGAGGATCTACCTCCACATTACTTTATTGGCAAAAATTAACCTGAAATGATGTGAAATTACTTAATAGACCATAAAACAATATGGATATAACGGATTATTATATTTCATATTATTAAATAGTACATTTGCAGTTGTGTTGCTTGTGTACTATGTGTACTATGATGCTTACATATAGTCAAGTTTTAAAGAATGTGCATGAGCCATAGCTGAATTTTAAGATCAGGCTTGACAACCACATAACTTTGGGAAAAAATATTAGCCAACTAGAACCTGACCTTTATTTCAAGATTTGTATGTCATCTACAGTTATAAAATGTGTAGACTGCTTGAATTAGGCATCTCTAACTGACTAGAAGATCTATCTTGATAGTCTTACCACTGTGCCTGGGGAGGAGGCTTCTAGCCTGTACTTCGTATGTGGAAACGGGCATAAGTGTCCTCTCCCTCACTTATGATGGAGGTCCCATCCACCCCCTTGCGCAAAAAAAAAGAAACACTGTTACATGTTAAAGATTGAAGATAGATGTCTGTGTCTGTAAAAGCAAACAACAGCTTCCTTCTCTGTGAATTTCCAAGGACAAGGCCTAGATGACCTTAATAATGCATCTGTAGATTTTGAAAGAGAGGCTGGAATAATAGGGATCTGGGTTTTGGAATTTAGGGGTAGGAGTTAGACTGGGACATGGGGGCTAGACATATGGAGATAAAAAGACTTGGATAGGTAAGGCTGCTTATATTAGAGGGTGAGGCTGAAACAAGAGATTGTAAAAACTTGAAATTTAAGGTAGAGATTGGGTAAATATTTTTTTTTTGGGGGGAGGGGGAGAAGCACTGGAAATATTGCAGGCTATTAATGTCCATAAAGCTAAATCTAACTAATTTAAGTCATCGTAACCTGTTTTATTACTACAAGTTTTTAAAGTATTCAAATCTTTTAACCGGAAAAAAATTATTTTTTATAGTTCCCATGTTTATGGTCGATTGATTAATATAATTTTTTTCCAATTCATTTTATATTAATGTTGGAATTGCACATCGTACAACAATCTGCATACAGTGGCAAAATAAACAATAGTTTACTTCTGTGACTGAGGTAAAATGCAATGACAGTTACACATACTCATAGTGTGCATCAATAAGAATAAAGGCATAGGATAACATAATGTAAGACATACGTTTTGTTTTTAACTAAAAATGCCACTGGTAAAGGAAGAGTAAAATGTTTGTCGTTTTAAGCAGTTGTTGTGAGTATAATTCCCTTGTAGGATATTCACAAGCTACATTCTGCTATTGTACTGATGTAAGTAGAACAGTCTGCATATAATATGATTTATTTATTGTTGTTTTTATTTGTAGAGTATGCATATTCATTATGTGGATATGTCCTGTTTATGTAATAAAATTCTGTAAAAGTGATGACTTGGTCAGTTGTGCTTTGTGTGATGTCCTGTCACTCCTGTAAGCCTTTCTACGTATCTAAATGCAATGATGTTTTCCAATTAAAAAATAAAATTAAGCCAGTCTTGTGTCTCTCTTCCATTCAAACCAATCTGTTTTTTTGAACAAGTAGAAAAAGATATACATACATTATCTATAAATAATATGTAATTATAATGCAGAACTGAAAACTCTAGGATTTGTTTTGCTGATCTCAGCACATTGCAGGTCCTTCCTTACCTTCTGTCTCTACTGGAGATATTGTCTTGCTCGTGTAGTTGACTGTTTCAGAGCATGAGCCTCGGTCTTGGTATGGCAATGCTTTTATGTATAAATGGTCACTTTCTATATCATACCATACCTTTCATGCATACTTTCATGTCTCACGTTGTTTTCACCTCAAGACCATGTGCATGAAATAGTGGGGTTCAAAACTGGGAGGGGTTAGTTACGGAATAATTAATTGATGTGTTTCAAGATCCCTGCATAGTTGGATTAAGGTTTTTCCAGGGTCATAGGAAGGATGTCAAATTGGGGTCCTCTGCTAGAGCTATTGCTCTTTTTTCTTTGACCAAGAGGGGACTCTTAACCCCTTAAGGACACATGACATGTGTGACATGTCATGATTCCCTTTTATTCCAGAAGTTTTGTCCTTAAAGGGTTAAAGAGGTCTCCACCCAATATTACTGCAGACCACAATGCTCCCTCAAGCAGGTGAAGGGCACAGGGTCAAGCAGGAAAATCTTTTTGATCTACCTGCAAGTAAGGAGAGCCAGGGCCCAAGACTATGTCACCCTATGGATAACCCAGCTCTGGATCCTTGCACAGTGGTTCTAGTCCTTTGACATAATACTTAGCCATGACAATTATGAATAAAAATATGACCTCCCTCAGAGCATATATGATACAAAATGGTTTTCTTAAGAGCTTAAACATGGCAATTCAAAAGATTTACAGAAAATAATGTTTAATACATGGGAAAATTGCTGTTTAAAAGGTGTAAAAAAAAGGATACATCTCTACACAACAATAAATGCAAAAGTATAAAATTGTATTCCAACAAATTTACAACACGATATCCAAAGTTCAAGAGAACTTGCTGTCCGTTGCCAGCCTAAACCCATTAGTCAAACCCACCACGTTTTTGCGCAACAAAGTTTACCATCAATCAATCGTGGTAGGGTTTGTATGTTATGCAACTATCCTCACAAGTAATTATATCAACACAGTTTGAAGGAAAATTAACATATGGTGTGATAAATTATTTTATTGCAGATTTTACTGCTCCTGATAGAATAAAATCTATAATGATGATCAAGCCAGTTTGTCTGTCTGTAATGTACTAAGTCTAAAGGTCACAATAACGGGTTAGTAACAAAAATAAAATCACATTAGAGAAAATTATACTTTATCTGCCAATTCATAAAATTGGTTGTATGGAGAACATGGGTAATTATAGTTTAATCAGACATATTTGTACTGAGTGGCCATTACTAAGGAACATAAATGCACATTTTTTATATCTAAGAGTGTATAAAGTCCCAAGCAACTTAGATTAACTCAACCAAACACATTTGGTTGATTTTTATTTAGGCTGAGCTGATAAAGTTTTATATAGAAAACAAGAAAAGAATGTAGCGCTTTTATAATAAATAAATAAGTTATCACCTTTTGGCAGTTAAGAGGAGTTATAAAATATAGATATCTACCTGCTTGACATTCAGGTGGAAAACTCCTCTTAACTGCCAAAAGGTGATAACTTATGTATTTATTATAAAAGCGCTACATTCTTTTCTTGTTTGCATATTCAATTCGGCAGATCTAGATTTAGTTCACTCCTTTGACACCAAGCTTGACAAACACGTTTCACATATTTCATTAATTTGACACACAAATCAAAATTGCAGAATGGATAAATTATCTAACTGTGCAAGATATTATCGAGGCAAATGCTGTCCTTACACGGGAAAGAACTGTTTCTAGCATGAAATGTTACCTATACCACTTGAAATATATTGATTGGTGATATTGCAGATACTTTAAGAAGCAAAACAAGTAATTTTACCTATGATACATATATATTTGCAACAGAGAAGATTTAACTAGGGGGTTAACTAAATGAGAAAGGAATTAATGAAATTAGAACAATGCATAACTCCACACGTAGGAAGAAATGAATCTGGGACCGAGAGTGGGTGGGCCATGAAGGGGCAGTAATAAGGACAAGAAAAGGAGATGTGCCAGCCTGCCATGCTTGCAAAGCTGACTAACTTACTGCCTTGGAGGCTGCTTCCACTCTGGGTAGCCCATGCTTGGAGCACAAATGAAGGTTATACGCAGTGTGGCGTGAGCATGTCATGATGTGGACAAATCCTTCATGCCCCTAGATTCAAGGTACAAGGAAACAAACTGAGGATAGTGGGATAGGAGACCAAATTCGGTGTGGTTCCAGCAAGTCCATGCAATTGGAAAGTATAGGTAAGATCAAGTATGTGGAGTATATAATTTAACATCACAATATAAAATTACATAAAAACTGAATACCTGTTTTACTGTCACCTTAAGTAGAAGTTGGCGATTTAGAGGTTATTGGTGCACAACACACAGGGATCAGATGGTGAGGAGTTTCTGGTGACTACTCAAGGGTCATTTCACCTGCTTATACTTTGCTTGGAAAATGTATTTTACAGGATATTTCTGATGACCTCATTCTCGCTAAACCATAAACATTGCGGAAGCAAATCATCATATATGGTGCCACTGCAATTAAAGTGCATTGTGTGGGGATGCTGGATGCTACAGTCTGTAAGCATATTGAGATGCTGAGTGGTTGTTACTAATATATATTAATACCTATTACTCATACATGTGTGGTGTGTGAGGCGAGTGGAAAGAGATATCAAGTATGTCCTGATCCAGTAGAAACGCTGTACAGTTCAGTCCCTGTATTGTCTTAACGTGGTTTCTAATAATAATAATTTAACATACCTTCTGTGAGTCCATCTTTAGAATCAACAGCCTATTTCTTTGCCTACAGACACTCATGATGTAACTCCAACCCTACCCCATATCTTTAACGCTTAAAGGAAAATTAAACTTTTGGCCATTTTACATTTTAGTTGTCATGTATTAAAATTAACCTGATGATCTAGTTTGTAATGTATCTACCAAGTATCAATGCATATGGGATTTAAATCTGGCTTTGAAGGAGAGAACACACTTTACTCTTATAAGACAAAATAGGGTCCCAAGGTAGCAATTTCAGATCAATGAAAGATTTAAATAAATGTAAACGTGGCACTTGTTATACTAAACTTTAAGCACTAACATACATTAAATTTACTAAACATAAAAACACATCTTTCATGATAGATTTCTTGCAAATCTTGTTTGGTTTAAATAAACATATCAAGTAACTGCTTTAATACATTAAACAGATCCATTCCACTGGTTTGGCTTTCATCACACAAGACTTTATTTGAAAGGAAACAGAAGCCATTTTTAAATAGACCATGCAAATGGGGGATACATTTTTCGTGCACATATTTGCAGTTTTATGGTACATGGGTAAGAGCAAAAGAAATCACTTTCGGGAAAAAAAATAAGATTTAAAGCTTACATCCCCAAATATGAGATGTGTTTTATAGAATAAAGAGTGGCCGCCCATTGGACGAACGTTGGTTTAGTTTATCACTGTAAGCAAAAAGGTACGTCATTGCAACCAATTAAGTCTGATGCTTGCCAGAACTATTTACCCTAAATGAACATAATATGACCATAAACACAGCAGGCCCAAGAGTCTACTCATCTCATGTAAACGAGCCTGCTAAATGTAAAAGTTACACAGGTGACATGTAAAGCCTGACTTGTAAATCAGGAACCATGTGCAGACCTGATTCTAATGAAAATAGAAGAGTTAGATGTACTATGGCCAAAAATATTACTCACTAAACAGTGAACTGATGCATTTTGACAATATAAAAACAAAATAGTCTGCACAGATTTTTTTCAAATTGCTTGCTTTTGCACTGCAATTCAGTTTTCACAGGGTAATTCAAGAAATCGAGAATCATATTTGTTATGGGCGCTCTACAGATCGTTACGGATTACCCTGTTTATTTTACCGTATACCCTGTTTCGATAGCTATACTGTATAAAACTCATTCCACGAACAGTCAGGACTATGTATTTGTGCATACAAACGACAGACCACCTGGCCCTTGGCGTGTGCCGCCACTTAACCTTTTTCACCTTTAAAACAACCGAACAACCGACCACCCTACGAGCGGAGTGTGCTTCTAATTGACTACCGGGAAGCTGCAGTCTGCAATTAACCGCAAGCCTAATTGACTGTCTCAGGGTGGCCTCATTCGTGTAATAATTCACCGAACTGAAACTCACGAATGACTCCTGAACGAGGACCACCTACATCCTGACGTGTGGCCCCAATTAGAACGTTGGGTCTGCGGTTAACCGCAAGTTAAGTACCCCCCTTCATTGTGCTCTCTGTTCGGCTCACGAAGGGCTGGGACAACCATCCTCTGAGAGGTGTTCGCGCAATTGTTCAGCTGCTACTCGCTCCATGGGTTTTAGGTGCAGGTCCTGCTCTCTATTCACCAACATGAAAACATGGCCGCCATCTTGTGTTCAGGACAAAAAGGCATGAAAGGACTTTGTATTGAAGAGACTAGCTAAACCGTTTGTAAGATCTGAGCGCTATTCACCTATCTACTGCGCTCAGATCTGGGCTATCTAACGAATGGTGGAATGCAAGATGTGTCTATTAAAATGTTATAGTTATATATTTTTATTCTGTTTTATATGTTACAATAAAACGTGGGATTTTGGGCGCTTTGAGATAATTAAATTGTCATAACCGTTAGAGTCATTATCTCCAAGCGGGGCGGTGACCATTTCAAATGATACACTGTAATGCCATTGGTCAACTGTTTGTATTGTCCCTGTATCCCATCAGGTCCAGAGGGACCTGGGGTTTTGCATAAATAGCGATGCCTGTGTGCCATTAAACTCAGTTTGTTTTGACCCTCAAATTGCAGCCTCGACTCGTTTTGTGGGAACAAGGGTATCCTAGCTGTACCATAGCTAGTGGGATTGCTTTATATTTGCAGGATACTTGTGGTATGCTGAACTGAACGGCGCTTCTTTCTCTCCACACTCAGGAACCAGGACATCCAAGCAGTCCAGCCTTCAGCTAGCTTGGAGGTAACCGTAACAATATTAATCTAACATTCAGTTGTAGTGTGTATGGTGCTATAAGGCTGTAGGCCCTTTCTCCTGGTTTTGAGTTAATTCATGTTCAAGCAGTATGATCGAAATCAAGGTGCTTGTGGCCTGGCTATATTTTGGCTGCAGTGATAGGCTGTACATGTCTGACAACGGTGGGATTTTGAGTTCACCGTTAAACCTGGCAGAAACATTTAGTATTATTATTTATTACAATTTATTATGGAGTACACCTCAAATGCCCAGTAGCAGATGCAAGGGGACATTTCCTTCATATTACCAGTGGGAACCCAATATATTCACAGCTGATTATGGTATTAAAAACAAAATGAAACATGGATTGCTTACTTCCTCCAAAAATTGAGTGGGATCTTCAGAGTCTCCTAGTGACCATTAAATGTATTGTGTGCAGCCATGGCATTCCCCTCTACCTCACAATGCAATGGATTGATTTTATCACGTAACATAATGGTGTACCAGAAACAGGGCCGGTGCACAGATTTTTGGCAATACAGGTGAGGATGCACTTTGCTGCCCATCCCTCCAAAATAAAATGCATCTTCATCTGTGTTTCTCTTTCTCCCCTTTCCCAGCCCCTCTGTATACTCTGTATATCTCTTCCCACCAGCCCCTTTGTGTGTGTCATTCTAACCTTCTTCAGCCCATCTGTGTGCCTCTCTCCCAACCCCTTTGTGTGTCTATTTTTCCCTTTCCAGACCCTCTGTGTATCTCTCCCCCAGCCCCTTTGCATGTCGCTTTCTCCACTTCCCCAGCCCATATGTGTGTCTGTCCCCTAGCACCTTTCTGTGTCTCTTTGTCCCATTCTCCAGCCCATCTGAGCATTTGTGTCTCCTTCCTCAATCCCACTGTGTGTTTCTTTGCCCCCTTCCATAGCCCCTCTGTGTGTGTCATTGTCCCCTTCTCCAGCCCCTATGTGTGTCTCTGTGCCCTCGTTCCCAGCCCCTCTGAATGCAGCGACTGAGCCCCTCCAGAGCAGAGAGTGCTGTAAGGAAGTGACTATTTATCTGTTACTTCCTCCCAGCTTACTGACCGTACGGGCTGGGAGGACTGTAGACACTCTGAGAGAGGAGGAGGGAAGAGAAAAAGCTCTGCAGGCAGACTCCCATCCTATCAGCCTCAGCCAGCCCCAGGAATTTACCTCCCTGCAGCAAAAGGTATGGAAACAGGGGGTGGTTAATAAAATGTCAAATGCTATTTGTGTGTCCGTGTGTATGTTTAGGTAAGTGTTTCTGTGTGTCAGTGTGTTTATGCTAATGTGTATGTATGTGTGTTTGTATTTGTGTGCTAGTATGTGTGTATCTGTGTGTGCCAGTGTGTCTATGTGTAGGTATGTGTATCTGTGTGTAGTTGTGAGTGTCAGTGTGTATCTGTGTGTGTGTGTATCTGTGCGTAAACTGTACCAGTGTGTAAACTGTGTGTGTATATCTGTGTGTGCCAGTGTGTGTGTGTGTGTAGGTATGTATGTGTGTGGGAGGTGGGATCGTTATCCTATCTAGCAAGATGTACATA